AAATTCTTTCTTTTTATTTTTCGCCTAGTTTGTTTTTCATCTGGGCGAAGCAATTCTACAACTCAAACGATGAAAAACAACAACAACAGAAAAAAATGGCAGAGAAAAAAAATCCTATGAAAACAGAATATTTAAGCACAAGAAAAAAAGCCAGAAAAAAATGATTGATGATGATGATCATCACAGTGAAAAAACGAGAAAAAAAAATTGAAAAATCCTGACTTTTTTCACTTGTTTTTCGCCATATTTTTTTGAATAAAATTTTGTTTTTCTGAATCCAACCAAAAATTATTATTATTTTTTTTGCTTTTTCAAGTTTGGGAAAAAATTCATTTTTCAAAAATAAAAAAATCAAAACTTTTTTTACGAATTTTCCGATTCAAAGCAATTTTCCTCTATGAATTTAGCCCAGCAAACTTCAAACGATGCAAAACTTTAAAAGTTTTATGCAAAAAAATGAAACGAAATTCGTTCAATCATTTTGTGCAAATATTGGATATACACAAAAAATATAATGAGAAAAGAAAAATTAAGAAGAAGAAAGCTATTCAGCATTTTGTCTTCTTTTTCGCCTACAAAATTAACACACCTGGATGACAAGATGAAAATTACTTTCAATTTTCTTTCTTGCTTATAAAAAAACTCATCATCATCGTTTTTTTGTTTTGTTTGTTTGAATCTAAAATTTCACCTGAAAGGTGTGAAAATGCACAAACATCACATGGCAAAATAAAAAGAAAGATTTGTTCATCATTCAAATTTCGTGATAAAAATCCATCAAAATAATTTGATTTTTGACATTTGCAGGGAAAAAAACAGCAAAATTGTGTTTATGTTTAAATTTCCAGGAAAAATTCATCAATCACATTCAATTTGATTGATATTTGTCAATGTTTTAACTTCTATCAACCTTTTTGATGATGATGATCATTTTTTTCAGAAATAAATGAATATTCATCAGAATTGAAAAGAATTTCAATGAATTTTCAAAACATTGAAATTTCAATTTTTTTCTCTTGTTGTTTCCTGATTTGATTGTTGCAAAAAAAAAATGATTTTCCAAAGAAAAAAAAATTCATTGCCAAAACAACAACAACAATTCATTTCTATAGAAAAAACCACGAAAAAAACGAAACGAAATACAAAAACAAATTGCCAGAAAATACAAAAAAACTAATGGAAGTCCTAAACATTGGCAGTATCCATCTCAAACCAATACATTGAAAGGACATAAACATATAGAGAAACAGGATGGATACCAGGCTCCAACAATAAAAAAGAAAAACTTATTGTTGTTTGTTTTGGAAAAAAAATAAAATAAACAACTAAATTTGTTCAAATTTCAATTTTCAACAAAAAAAAATCAAATTCAAATTGATTGTTCGAGTGGAAAATAATTTCAACAACGAACAAAAAAAAATGTTTCCAGCAACATTGAGAGAGTAAGCGAAGGGAAATTTCAAAAAAACAGAAAATGTTTTTTTTTGCCAGCGATGAAAAAAATGCAATTTCATTTTGAATTCAGAAAAAAAACACAAACCAGACCCACACACACAGATCGACAATCTATTATCGATCATTTCAAACGAAGAAAAAAAAATTATTTAAAATTAAAAATAATTTCAATTTTCCTCTTTAAAAAATTTCATGAAATTTTTTTCTTGCCTGCCATCATCCATTCCATTCCCTTCATCGCGATACAATCGATATTTTGGATAAAACAAATTGTGTTCATTTCACATAATTAAATTGAATTTGTTGTTGTGGTTGTTGATGTTTTCAACGTTTCCCTCTCCTTTTTTTCCCTTCTCTGAGAAATTTTCATTTTTAAAGAAAAAAAATTCAAATGAAAAAAAATGTTTGATGAAATCATTTTCGGAATGAAGAAATTCGAAAAAAAAATTCAGTCTGATTTGGAGGAAAACACACACACACACACACACCGACAAGTTATTAATCATTCATTCTGTGTGTGTTTTGCTATGTAAAAAATACCAAGAAGGAAAAAAAATTGTCATCAAATTGAATGAATTGATTTATTGACCTTCAAATCAGTGAAATTGAAGAAAAAACCGGAAATAATTTTCATTTTTATCATCCTCATCATCAAAACTGAATTTTTCAATTCATTATGATGATGATGATGATATACAAATCGGCGACCTTACTACAAACAAACAAACACTGAAAAAAATGACATGATAGCTTTCGGGCATCATTTAATTTTACAATCAAAAAAAAATAAAATTAAAATTTTTGTTGTTGTGAATGTTTTTTTATTGATGGTGATCATTGAATGATGGATCATCATATTCAAATTATTTGTTTCAAACAAACAAAAAACAAGACAAAATAAAAATATCAGATCGTTTTGTTTTGAATGAATTTCGAGGAAAATTCCTCAATAAAATTCCAATTGACAATGTTTTTAATATTTTTGTTTTCAAAAGAGAGGCTTGTCATCATCATCATCGTTATCATCAATCTTTAATGAATTAAATGCTGATTAAGATGATAAAGATGGTCAAAAACAAAATTAAATTTTCAAAAATTTATTTACAAATAACCAATCAATCAATTGATTGATTGAAATCGGAAAAAAATCTTGTTTTGTTTCAACGATTTTCTATCATTTCGTAATAAAATACAAATTTTTTTATCTGTTTTTCCCATTTTGTTCCATGAAAAACAAAAAAAAAAAAGTCATTGATCATAACAAAGGTGTGGTTCGATTGAAACAAATCGGGGAAACAAAACTGAAAAATTCAATTAAATATGGCAATAATTTTCTTCATATAATTCAATTTACACACACACAGAAAAATAATCGATCATTTTGATCTATTTTTTTTGTTCGTTGTTCTTCTAAAATTACTTGATTGAAAATCAATTATTTTGACCGATTATCGATGAAATTGTAATGAAAATTTGTAATAATTTTCAATGGCCACAATCACCTTTACAGACAGAAACGAAAAATCAATCAATTTCAATGATTTTTTCGTTTGTTTTTTGTTTTTTTCTGAATTTTCGTTCATCCAACACACTTGTTGATGTTCGAATGTTATTTCTTTCATTGTTCTATATTTATGTTGATGGAAAAAAACCATCAAATCGCCACAACGGATAACAACCGCAACAACAATAAAGGGTAGACAACAACAACAAAAAAACATTATCCTGTGATAACATCAACAATAGCCACACACAAAAAAAAACAACCAAAATGGAAATGAACAATCGGAAATTCACACACACAAACAAACAAACAAACAAAAATATTTCGTACATTGAACTATATTATTCTGCCAAAAAAACAATCAAAAAAAAAGAACTGAAATTTTCAGAAAAAAATGATGATGATGATGATTATGTGAAAAACTGGAAAAAAAACCAAAAAAAAAAACTGAATTTTTCAATTCGAAGAATCAAAAAGCAAAGGAAAAAATAATAATTCATCATCATCATTGGTTTTTTTTGCAAACCCTCAACATCAACATTAAAGGATAGGCAACAGGAAAAAGACCATGATGATGATGATAATGATAATGATGAGCATCCAAAAAAAAAGAAAAATTTATTCAAAAGATAAACAGGAAAGAAAGAAATTAACATTTTTTTTCTTTGTTTTGTTTTTTCGCATCATCATCATCATCATTGATGATGGTCGTGCCAAAGTGTTAGTTTTTTTTTACAAATGAAACTTAAAAACAAAAATTTCATTTCAATTATCTGGCCATGGCAATGTTGATGATTATGAAATATCTTTTCATCAGATTTTTCATCAACAACAACAATTTGTTTTTTTTCGCTTGTTTTTGTAAATATTTAAATTGAAAACAAAAAAAAAAAAAATGAATAAATTTTGTTGATTTTATCATCATCATTATCATTAGGGCAATTTGAATCTTTTCTTTGCGCTTTTCGAATGAAACAATGATAAGCAAAAATATTTTTCGCATGTTTATTTCAATGTTCTCCTTGTTTTTTTTTCGTTGTTGTTCCATTTTGTGATGAAATTTTTTGTTTTCCATTTCTCCATCGTGATTTTTCATTATTTTCGTTTTTTCTTGATCATTTTTTCTGGTTAGGAAAAAAAATTTCGATCCAGATTATCAAAACAAAAAAAAAACAAGAAAATGAAAAACAAGGGTTGATTTGACATCGATTGATAAAAGATTGTTTGTTTGTTTGTTTGTTATTGAAATCAACAGAAAAAAGGATTCATTTTGGACAAGAGAAAGAAAAAATTTCCTTTTTTTTTCTATGTTTGTTTGCTTTGCTTGTCAACTTACGAATCACACACACATCAATGGATTATCATTATTTTTAACATGAATGAAAAAAACTGGATAGATATGACATGACATGTGACAGGCGTTTGTTTGCTCGATATATCTATAGATGTTGAAAATTTTGGAATCGTTATTTGGACAATGTTTTTTTTTGACATTTTTTCCAGCTTTCGATTTTCGTATCTAAATAATGATGGTTTTTTTTCAATTTTTTTCCAGAAATTTTTCATCATCATGATGATCCTGATCATCATTGACGGATGGCGAATTTCTCACACATCAAATTATCAAATTTGAAAATCTTTTCTGAATTGCACTAATGTGATGAGAAAAACCAAAGCCAAAAACAAAAACAAGCAAAAAAAAGAAGCAAATTGAATATTCACCAAATGAAAAAAAAATCCAAACACGATGATAAAAATGCCAAATCCAAAACAACAACAACAAAATCAAGATTATAATCAATCATCGAATCATTGCATTATGTTATGTTTGTAAAAACAAAAATTGAAATGGTCAGCCATAAATAGATGAAAAAAGAGAGTGAGTGAATGAATGAGAGGAAGATAATTCCTTTTCGAAAAGATCAAAGTTCATTAAATTTTTAATTAATCATTATTGTTAATTAGGAAATTTTGTGAGAAAAAAATCAATGTTTTTTTTGTTGTTGTAAATTTTGATAACAAATGATCAAATGATACATACCTTGATAACAGAATTCAACAATATGACAAATAGTTTCATAACTAAAATCTTTAATAATAATAATTGGAAAATATGTTGAACCAGGTTTATCCGATATTTCTGATGTTATTTGTAATGAATCAAATAATTGTTGAAAATATGGTGAAAATGATGATAATATTAAACGATGTGCACGTATTAATGGACGATGAAAACCCGTTGATATATGACAATCACAATAATGTTGTTCGGCTAATAAACGTACTAATGAATTTGAAAGATGTTTATAATAAGATTCAAATTGTAATTTATATGTTGATGATGATGATGATGTTGCGATTGGTAATGACGATTCTACGGTAGCGATTTTCGTTGATGATGATAATGACGTTGTTGTTGTTGCTGTTGTTGTTGTTGTTGAAATTCCACCACCAACATCAGCAACATTTTCATTCGTTGCCATTATTGGTTGATTTTTGTAAAATATCAAAATAAACAACACCGAATATTTTCACATATAGACGATCAATGATCAATGAAATAAACTCGAAAAACAAACAAAAAAAAAATCCGTTTTGTTATTCAACGACAGGAAAAACACAAACAAAAATCAAAATAATTTTAATTGGATTGATTGATTGCGATATCAATTTACAATGAAATCAATCGATGGATAACAGAAAAAAAAGATACAATTTTTTTTTCTTTGAAAAACAGAAAAGGAAATCAAATTTATTACATAATCAATGTCGTTGTTGATTTTAAAAAACAAAAATTCATTTGAACATGGTTTCGTTAAACAAACAAACAAACAAACACATATCACAGCACATCATTCCTCAATATGAAGACATCATTAGAATTTCAATGTTCAGGAGGTCAAAGGTTGAATCTTATTCCTGATGATGATTATTTTTTTTTGTTTTTGGTTTGAAAAATGAAAATTATTTTCTCAAAGCAATTGGAAGTTAACGAGAGAAACAGCAAAAAAACAAAAGTTTAAGGTCACGATTACGATGAATGATTGTTTTAAGGTTGTTGTTTTTGTTGTTGATGATGATAATGATGATTGAAAATTACATAGATTCACAATGAGAAAATAAATAATGAAAATTCATCACCTTTTTTTTTGTCGAAAACGTCGACGATGAAGAATAAAAATTACTTTTTTTCAAAAAGTAGTAGCAGCAATCTTTCAGCAATGCAGAAGTGGAAGAAGTAGAGAAAATTTTTGAAAAAAAACATCCAATTCGAATGAAAAATTCTGTTGAAAAGAGAAAAGGAAGGAAAAATGAGGGTGTTGGTCAAATAAAGGGTTAGTTTTTTTTGTGGGGGAAAAATAAAGATTTTCACACAAATATTCGAGCGATAAACAACGAAAAACAACGAAAAAAGAAAATCCATCCATCCATCCATCATCATCAAAATCTGAATTTGATTTTTTTAAAAAAATGAAAATTTTTTATTGTTGGAAAACAATTCATCAATCAAATTTCATTTTAGTTTTTTTTTTGAAAAAAAAATCTGAAAAAAGAGAAAAAAAAATTTCCCTTCAAAATTCAGAAATAAGAGAATCTGAAAAAAAATGATAATCATCATCAGGATTGCAAGAGAGTGGTGGTGGTGAAAAAAATAAGAAATTTAAGGCCAAAGGTCATCGCCATCATCATCATCATCATGAGAATTTTTTTTTTGTTTCCTACAGACAGAATGATGAATAAGAAGATGAAAAAAACCAAGTGTGAAAACCACCACCACCACCACCACAAACAATCTTCATTTTGTTTTGTGGTGGAATTTCCTCTCTTATTTATTTTTTTTCAAAAAAATTTTCCACAGGATGATTAAATTGAATTTTTTTTTTCACAATTCAATTTTTCAAAAATAACAACAACAACAATCAAAAAAAAGAAAAAACATTCGTAAAAAAAATTCGCGTGTACATGCAACATTTGAACCTTGAAAAAATTTTTTTTTTGAAAAAACTCAATGTGGTGTGAATATCAAAGGAAATATCCAGAAGAAAAACTTTTTTTTTTTTTTTTGTTGATCAAGTTAATGTGAATTTTCTGTTTTTCAAGTTTTTTTTTCAATTTTTCACATAATCAAAATCTAATCAACAAAACAAAAAAAAGATTCTTTTTTCAGGTTCTAGTTTCGTTTTTTTTCTGTTTGTTTGTTTGTTTATTTGGCCTTTTCAGGATACTGATTGAAACATCCATTGAAACATTGTTTCAAAAACATGAATTAAATTTAGCGTGAATTTTTCATTTTTCCTGAGAAAATTGTTGGATGCAAATACGCCCCTGTATTTTTCTTTGCCTGTTTCTTTTTTTCGTTTGTTGATAATTTTTTATTGAAAAAACACGCCCGATATGGCAAGTAGAAAAAAAATCGAAAGCAAAAATAAAAAGGTCAAAGGTCGAAATTATGAATTTTTTCACAAATTTTTTTTCTCTCGTTTGATGTGATGATGATGATGATGATTTGTGTTTTTTTTCCTCATTTGTTTTTTTTTTTGTTTTTTTTCTATTCTACAGAGCAGCTGGCAGGCAAACAAGATTGCATCAACAACAACAACAACAACAAAAAATTCATCGGAAACATTCGTTGATTGTTTTTCACATTCGAAAAAAAATCATGAGATAAAAATGAATGAATTTTCCTTGAAAAAAAAATCTTGTCATGCGGTTTTTTTTTCTTTCTTTCTTGGTCTGTCCAAAAAAAAATAAAAACCAAAAAACAAGCAGCAAAAAGTAAATGGAAAAAAAAATAAATTTAAAATCTGGCCAGTGAATTTCTTGAAGGTCAAAAGTCATTATCGTCGTCGTCGATGTTCAACAACAACAACGAAAAAAATACAGGACAAAAAAAATAACATTTGAAATTTGAATTGCCAGTGGCGCGAAGAGGGGGAAGGGAGGAAATTTGTGATTGACAAGTTTTTTTTTTTTGAATTAACCAAGAGTGAGAGAGTGGGGAGGGAAAACATGACAACAAAAAATTCCATAAACTGGGTAAATCATTTTATGATTGACGATGAATGGATGGATGGATGGATGTTTTGAAAATTTGATTTTCCGTTTTTTTTTTCGTTCGTTTGTTTGTTTGATCAGAAATTTTTCGGAAATTTTGTTTTTTTTAATCATTTAAAATTTCATCTTACCCTGAGAATAATGTCTGTCTGCAAAATTGATTTGATGGCTGTTGTTGATCAAAGATTATGGGAAATTTTCTGGAAAAAAAAACAACAAAATTTGATCGGATTGATTTGAATGATCGATAAACGGTAAACACATACACACAGGGTTATCTCAAATATGATTGTTGTTTGACATACTTTTTTTGTATGTTTGTTTGATTCAAATTTTCAAAAAAATTTCCAAACGCCAACACCAAACAAAGGATAATCACAAACACACACTTGTCAAGAACGTTGATGATGATGATGAAAAAACAATTAATTAGAATTGAATTTTTCAAATTTTTTTTCATTCGAAAAAAAAAGGAAATGCAATCGTTATGCACTGTTAAAAATGGTATGACTTTATAAGTTCATAAAGTGGAAGTGTGGACTTATAAG